TATAAAAATTTAAAATAATCATTACAATCAGAACACTTCTTTTTCCATTTAAAAATTTAACAATTGGTACTTTTTAAATATTACATGACAAGATCTTTGATAGCCATTTGATTAAATTAAATAGTTGTTATTATATCATGTGAAACGCTAATTAAGTGAATGAACTCACACCATTTACTGGATTCAAATATGAAAAACCAAGGGCAAAGGGGATAGCATAAACAAGATAGTGACTAATGCATATATAGTTTAATTTAATCCCGAAATATTTGCATAAAGTATTTTATAGAGATTTTATTTTAAATTTTTTCTGCAAAAGAGTGTGAGAAACTTGTTTATGTGTGTAAATATATATAGATATATGTTTGATATTATTAGGTCAAATTTTCATATATAAATTGCATTTACGCATGATTTTGAAATAAAGTTACACGTACGATGAGTTCTTAATTATCACAATTCACAACAATTGAATTCCTTAATTATCAGCTTATAAGGCTTATTAAAGCAGATCACATATAACTGACATAATTCATCATTGCTAAAACTCTAAATTTTTTATATATTGTATAAATGTTTTTCATACTTTAAATTCTACATTTTTTTTGTTTTTAATTCCTTGTTTTGTCCATCGAAAATATTATTTTAATTTTATATTTCATCTCTTAAAATGAATCACAAATTAAAGTTTTCAAAAAATAAAACACGAGACTTAAAAGTCTTTAAACAAAAAACTAAATGCTATTATAATTTTATAAACTATGGATTGGATGTTGTGCTTATCACTTCAATAACTACTAAATGTTTCGGCCAAAAAAAAGTTTTTCTTTACACTTTACAGTCAAACAAAAATATTTTGAATTTAAAAGGAATAAGTAGAGTATATAATCACACAATCAAAAGCCAATTCTGAAGCTCTTTATCATAAATTTCGGATTGCTGGATCTGCATCTGACCATGAAAGCTCATGATCGTGGAAGTCGACGGACGAAGATCACGAGCCTTTGTTTCCCGTTCTTGAGAAAGTTTTTTCTTTTTCTTTTTAATTTCTAATTTGTTTGCCTCTGGAAAGCCATGGGTATGCCACTTACTCCTTTTATAATCGATCTGTGTTATATGACGTCTTTCGAAAAGATTTTTTTATTTTCAATATAATGCATGTGCAGGGTTATTTGTGTTGGAGTTTTTGTATTTGTGTGTCAAAAAAAATATCTTACATTGCTAAATTTGAGAAAGTCTTAGTGTATATATTAGGATTAAAATTTGAGCAAGTAGATGGCTAAAAACAGAAGTGAGCTCATGCATATAATAATATGCTAATGTAGTTGAGATTTGGCTTTTTCTCTTGTCCACAAGTTAGATGTAGTGTCATGCACTTTATTCACCATTAATTGCCTTTAATATTAAAATTTAAAAATGGTTTCCATAAATTATCATTAAGTAGTATTTAAGATTTTAATGGTCATTAAGCTGTCTTGAGTTGCCTTTAAGCCACCAATGGCTTTTTGACCCTATATAAACATGTACCCAAGGTTGTTTATATCAAGGTACGTAAAACCGGACCGGTCATTAAACCGGTCATGGCACTGGGTCACGGGTTAGTGGTTCAATCAGGGTTGAACCGGGGGTTGAACCGGTGGCAAACCGGTCATGATTAAAATAATACAATTTAAATAAAAAGACATTAATTATAAAAACATTCAACCAAATCCAACCACTCAAAAGTCTAACAATAATAAAATACTATATTTTTGGACTTAGCATGCTCTATCTCTAATTTTTTATTTTTTGACTTTAATTTTACTTTTTTTTGTTATTTTTTTCCGAACTCAGAGCTGTGAAAAATTAAAAATGAAAAAAAAATCAAAAACGACATCGTTTTGGGGTAAAAGTCTGAAAAAATATTAACCCGGTTAACCCAGTCAACCCACCGGGTTATCCGGGTTATACCGGGTTGAACCCGGGTTGACCGGGTTACACCGGTTCATTCCCTCACCGGGTTAAGTGCAAACCCAGACCGGACAGGGGACCGGTTCACCGGTTTCCGGGTTGACCCGGCCGGTCCGGTCCGGTTTTCAATACCATGGTTTATATACACACTCCTCAAAGAGTTTTCAAGCTCTTCTCTTCTTCATCCTAAATTCTTTATATTTAAAATTATTTTTACTGTTCCATCACCCTGTTCATTTTACAAGAGGGTTCCTTTTATTCTTGAAAAACTCTGATAATTATGTTAGAATTGCTTTTAAGTACAATGTTTTTAGGCATGACTAAGAATAGATTTTATACAAAATATGCCAACAATTTGTTACTCCTTTCATCCTAGATTACAAAATACTTTTATGATAAATTTGATGTACCAAAATATGAAACATTTTGAGAAGATTAATGTTTCATAAATATACTTAATCCATTATTACTATTTCTTTCTCTATTTAATTTTTGTCACAGCTCTTTTCAATATATTAAATGAATTTAAAAATTTATATTTTTGTTTTACAAAAAAATTATTAAGTGTATTTAATGAGATTTATTAATATATGAGATTTGTATCTTATAATTTAAATGGAAGGAATACTATTTTTCAATTTTATCCCTTTTATAAATTTAATTTCATCACGTATCATGTACTGTGTATTTTTTTTATTTTTAATAAGGTAAAGTTAAAATTTTTTATCATTTTAAGACATTTAATGAATTAACTATTATTTTTTTATTTCAATAAAATAATTAAAAGCATCAAAGACAAGATGAAACGTGCGCGCGCGGTTTTTCTTTTTTCCTGTTTTTTTCTGGTAAGGGGCATTACTAGTTAACAGATTTCCACTTCTCTCCTTTTTTTAAAAAATATATATATATATATATGTATGTATAATTTTAAATATTTATATTTTGATCAAATTATATTATATGTCTCTACATTTTTTAATATTTTAAATTTTTAGATTTTTATTTTTTTATATTCTAAGTCTTTTCATTTTATTTTTTTATAATACACTTCCCACCTTTTAACATGGAGTGACATTGCTTCATTCCTTTAAGAATAGTTGAAGGACCCAATAACGTTAAACTATTTTGAGAAATTGTCCGATAGCCTTTGTTGTTGCTGTTTTTTTTTTTTTAAATTCCTCCCTTTTTTTGTGTCATCTAAAGAATCGCTTTCTCAATCTTAGCCTCAAATAATGAAATCATAACCATTAAAATATTAAATTGTTGGAAGACTAATCAAACGGTCAAATATTTTGTTTATAGATGATGATGATAACTAGACATTTAATAATCTTTCACAATATATTTTAAAAATTTTTTATATTTTTTTATTTGTATTTTAAATTTTTTGAATATTTAATAATTAAATTAGATTATACAAAAAGAATATAAAACACAGGATTTAGAATGAAGCCTTGTGTTTTAATACTTTGGACCAAGCTTCAAAAGAACATAAGACAATCGAGCTTTCATGCTGAACCATTAATGGGTTAAGCCCATAAAAAACTGGGTTAGCCCAGTTTCCAACTCTAATTGTGGGGTTATACATCCATAAACTTTGAAAGAAGTCATTCTATTAGTTTCAATGACTCTCTTTGAAACCTCTTTATGAGAGTTGCATCTCTACCGGTTCACTCAAGGTGTAATGGAATGGTGTCCCAACTCCCAAGTGATGTTTTTCATCTTTAGAGGAGTGTCCATGAAGGTGACCCAATCTCTCCTTATTTATCTGTACTTTGTATGGACCTTCTTTCTCATCTTACCCAAGACAAGGTAGATAACAGTGAACGGCTTCCCATCAAAATGTCTAAAAGAGGTCCTTTTATTTCTTATTTAATGTTGGCTGATGACTTGCTTTGGCGAATCCAATGGAAAGCAAATCAGTTGCATGATAGATGCTTTGAACCATTTCTATCAAACTCTTCTTTATTTTTGGGCACTTTCTTTATGGAAAGTTATTTTCTAAACCTGTTGTGCAACTAATTTAGAAAATTGATCTTGTTATCAGTAATGAATCCAGACTCACCTATAATTGGGGGGGGGATTTTACGAATATTGGGGAGCAAAAACTAAATTTCACATTTTCCATAAATAAAATCTAAAAAATATAAAGGAGCAGTAAAATTATTGGGGGGGGGGAGTACCCCCTTCCACCCTGACTCATCACTGCTTGTTTTAAATTGGTTCCACAACCGATTTAGAAAGTCATTTTCACCAGGTTTTTGAAAAAGAAAAAAAAAAAATTGTAAGGCGTGCAAGCTGTCTGGCCTCCTGTTGCAGGGATCAAACTGGATTGTGAATGATGGACGACATTACTCTTTTCTTACATGCACATTGGCTAAATGATAACTTGAAGGTCTCTGGTTGACTGGGTTTTATGCACATTCTGAGTCCATGACTGGGCTGAAATCCAAGCCATTATCAAAGGTTTAGCATCTATAGCGGTTCATTCCCCTGGATCTCATAGAAAACTTGAATGGGATATTGACTTCCATTTTATAAGTAGAGACGCTAACATCCCTGCTTATATTATATCCTTGCCAAGCATGGTGCGAGAACTAAAATTCCTTGGTCTGGTGAGGTCGCTCCTACTTTTCTAGGGAGCCCTGTTCTTGAAGAGTTAATGGCTATTTATAAATATTAGTCTAATTGATAAGGATTTAGCCCATAACCCATAAAATTGTGGATTCAAATCCTGCTATTGATGTGAGAATCTTGTTAATGAACAATTTCTAAGTACCATTGTAAATGCTCTTTGAACCTAAAAACATGTCTTAGCCTTAGTGAGCTTCCAGAATTCAACTCATCTAAATTTCATTTGTATAAAAAAAATAAAGATTTAACGGGTTTTCATCCCACTGTTTGTAACAAGGGTTCTATCAAATAATATATATATATATATATATATATATATTTCTTTTTCCCCTGGGGGTAAGGGAGGTTATGTCACAGATAGATCAGCTTCGAATCCACAACAGCAGCAAACCACAAATGGCTACAATAACTTTGAAGCTAGCTTTTATTATATCTGAAAATAATGGAACTAAAACTTAGCTTACAGCATGCATGGATGAAAAATCTCCAGTCATAATAAAACTCATGAAGATACTTCAATAGATGAGTTCAAATGTAAGAATTCGTGTTGGGAAAAAACTTCTGAAAAAATTGTTACTAAATTTTTACTTTCGGTTTGTGTTTACCGTTCTACTTGTGTGCATTGGTCAAGATTTGTTGAGTAATTGTTTCTAAATGTTTATGACAGTCATCACTTCAGGCCGAATAAATGTTTCATCAATCAAAGCTGTAGAATGTTAATTTATCATCAATATATACATACATGTGTAAATAGATAAATGTGAACATTACAATTTTGAGACCAATCAGCTCAAAGAAAATTACCAAACCTAAAAAATTGTTCATCTACTATGTATTCTTTGGCACCGTCAAGAAAAAATATTTTGGCACCACCATATGATATGCGCCTCTGATTTACCTGATGTATCTTGTGGCCTAGTCTTCCTGTTTCTTGTGGCTCTCCATTGCTTCCAGCACAAGCCATGTGTTCTGTGCTCTCTGGATAAACATTTGTGACCTTATTATCTCTGCTGCAAGTTTCATTTTTCTGTCTTTCCTGACTAACATCACTTAGGTTATTTTCTTGCGATCCTTTGAGTTCTTGGCCGCTAGATTCATCTTGCACAGTGAGTCCAGAGCGTGGCTTTTCTTTACCGGGGTCCTTAATTACTGGAATAACCTGCAATACATCAAGCAAATAGCATCAGTCAATTTTTCTTTTTGAGGATAAAAGAAGAAAGTTTGTGAGAAATATAAGGAACTTCTGGTTAGAGGATAAGAAATCCTTTATCAAGAAAATACAAGAAAAAATCTCAAGACAGAACAAAACAACAAGGCCCCTCTCAAACTTCGTAGTAAAGAAGAGCTTTACAGTCTCTTTGCATACAAGATATTATCACAATCTACTAATTATGTAGATTATTGGATATCATGAGAAGCCTTGAGAAGTACATGAAGTAGCTTCATTTTGGAGTGCGCTTGAGTTCATTGATTAAATACCTCCAAGTTAGCTGCTTGTGGCGATACTTCGATGTCTTGTGAGCTAGATTCATCTAGCAAAAGGCGATTGGATTGTGGCTTTTCTATAATGGGGTCCTCAGTTACTTTGATAACCTACAATATATCAAGAAAATAACATCACTCATTCTTTTTGGGGATAAAAGAAGAAAGTGTATGAGAAATAATAGAACTTCTTATCCGATCCTGTCTGGAAAATACAAGAAGAAGGCTCAAGAAAGAACAAAGTAACAAAGTCCTTATCAAACTTTGCGGTAAAGAAGACCTACAGTCTCTCTGCGGACAATACATTAATCACAATGTACTTATTATGTAGATTATTGAATATCATGTGAAGACTTGAGCAGGACATTAAGTAGTTTCGATTTTGTTGTGTGCTTGACTAGTTGAGTTCATTGATTAATTACCTCTAAATTATCTGCTTGTGGTGAAACTTTGATATCTTGTGAGATCGATTCATCTTTCAAAGGGCGTTTGAAGTGTGGCTTTACTGTAATGGGGTCCTCAGTTACAAGTGGCTTGTTATCAACTATGCATGGCAATGCTGAGATAACCTGTAATATATATCAAGCAAACAACATCAGTCACATTTTTTTTTTTTGGATAAAAGAAGAAATTTTATGAGAAAGAAGAGAATGAACTTCTGGTTTCTACACGGAATACAAGAAAAAAGCTCAAAAAAGAACAAAGTTATAAAGTCACTATCAAACGTAATGGTGGAAAAGAGTTTATAGTCACTTTGCACATAAGAAATTATCATAATGTACTAATTACATAGATGATTGGATATGATGTGGGGTCTTGAGAAGGACATAAGGTAGTTTCAGTTTTAGTGTGTGATTGAGATCATCGTTTACCTCTAAATTAATCATAATATTTTCAAAGGATTTATCTATATTGTTTTTCTAATAAATTATAGCAACAAAATTGTTATTTTCCTGATATGTTCAACTTTTCCTTTCTTATTGGAAATAATAAACCTTACCATATTCATTGTTAACCTTTCCTTTGGATTCTTTCTTAGACACTTCTCAATTACTTGGACCAACGAAAAAAGTTCTTGATCATCGCAGGAGCTGCTGAGTTTTGGATCCACCAATTGTGGGTAATTCATTCCTCTAAGAAGTGGTTTTGCCTGAAGAAATGTTGTTCAATGCAATATGAAAAAGCAATGGAAGTTGATGTAAGAGAATAATCAGCTTTCATACATGCAGGAATTTTCTTTGGTAATGCATAATTAAACATTGTGATTGCTCTGATCACTGTCTTTAGGCCATGGTGCTTTGATTTCATAGGAAGATATAAATGATATAAACTTACAGATAAGGAACATAATAATTTGTCGAATACATTTACTAGAAGATAATAATGACAGCCTCACCAATCCAAATATTCTTCATATAAGAGATCTTAGAGAAGAAATGTCCAAAGAATGACCTCAAGATGCCAAAATAGACATTTCTATGCTCCTCCAACCAATCTAGTTCAGGGTTTACAGTGGAAGTAGAATTAAAATATGAAAGGCAGAAGGAAGCTTGGAGGATTGCCATAGATCATAAGACCAAATATAATAGGATGTTATTTTGAAATTGAAGTATCTAAAAAATTTGCCATAATCACAATTTGCAAGAATATATGATTCCTAGAGTACCAAGAAGCCACGGATGAGAGAATTAAAAAATCAAACATTTTTCTAGATGTGCTTGGACAACACATTATAAAATAGTGAAGCATATATAATACTTTTATATGGTACTAATTACGCTTGTAATTTTTAGATAGAAAACCATGGCTCTTACCCATTCAATAAGACTTTTCTGTCCTGAAACTTTATCTATAACCCTATGCCCAGTGATCAGCTCTAAAAGAACCACCCCTAAAGAATACACATCTGTCTGAGTTGAGAACTTTCCACTGTCCAAAAGTTCCGGAGCCTCGTATCCAATATTCTCTACATTTTTATTCTTGTGCCAATTCTTCAATTCATTTTTGGATTTTCCAAATCCAAAATCTCCTACCTATAGATATGAGTATCATCCAAGCTAGAAGTTAAAAGCTAAAATGATAAAATGTTTTTTCAGATTAAAACTTAGATTGTAGCAAAAGACTCGCAGCTATTAAGTTCTACGTACCCGTGCTTCAAATACATGAGTTATAAGAATGTTACTTGGTTTTATACTTCCATGAATTGTATTATTCTCATGCAGATACTTTAGACCTCTGGAGAAACCTATTGCAATTTTCACCCTCTCTCTCCATGTTAGTAATCTACCAGTTTGTCCTGCAAATTGCCAAAGTTTCCTTCAATATTAACTTCACATCTTAACTAAAGGTTCATGTATAAAGTCTACAAACTTCATTTCAGATAAAAAGCTGTAAATGTATTTACCTGATAAATGATGGTCAAGTGAACCATTGCATGCATTCTCATATACAATCAGCATTTTAGTTTTATCTATGCATGAACCCAACAACATGACCACATTTTCATGTCTAGCCTTAGAGAGGAACTGAACTTCTGACTTAAATATCTTCTCTTCCTGGGAGCTTGTCATTTGAAGTTGCTTGACAACTATTTTCAATTTGCAGTTTAGCTGGCCTCTGAACGAAGGTCCATATACACCTTCAGTTAGAGAGTTCTTAATTGAAAACCCCTCAGTAGCCACATGGAGCTCATTATAAGAGAAATCCTTATGACCTCCAAAATGAGGGCGTTTACTTTTGCAGATAGAGCATACAGAAGATTTGGAATCCTCCAACATAACTCTGATGTTACAACCATCCAATGAATCCCCACGTAAGCTACCCTGCATTAGTTCTTCATTGCAATTTTCACTTGCAATTTGGCTACCCATATTTGTAAGTATTGTGCCCCTCTTTTCTATTTGGAGGCTTCCTCCTGTACCTTCTTGAGCCTGGCTTATCTGATCAGTTTTTGTGCGACACATCATGTGATCATTGCTGATCTCTTCTCCATCCTGGCGCAGCTGATGAACATTTCTACTACCTATTAAGTCATTTTTTCTGACTATTGATCTTAAGCTCCTCTCCATCTCATAAGGGATGCTTTCGATCTGTTCTTGTTTCCAACTGTTCTGATCAACCTTTGTTTGACCTATCATTTAAGTCAAGTCATTCCTTCCTCCTTCAGAAAAAGAAGTTCTAAAAGGAAACAAAGAAAGCAAGCTTGCAACTAATCTAGTAGTCAATTTCGTTAGATCTGTTTCTACCAGTTTGTCTTTGGGGATTCAGGTAGAAATATAAGAAGCAAAAATGAAAATAAACAGCAATTTGAATTGTAATTGAACGGGTTATAATATGATGGAAACTAACTTTTGTTATTTATGGAGAATGCTAATATGTTAAAAAGGTCCTCTTCATCTAGAAACCCTAGTACTATTTCATCATAAGCTGTCTGGTTGTTAAACGTTTCTTTTCTGAGGATATTACTTATGGAGAAACATTAGTAGCCTCCACTTATTTGTTACTTTTTTTTATTAAAAAAAAAAGTCCTCTTGCATGATTGACTCAAGCAAATTACTTTGTGCTGTTATAAGTGGAGAATTAATGCCATCATTACATGATATGAATGAATGAATAAATTGTTATTTTGGATATTTCCCTTTCCAGTGGAAGAAAAAAGCACAGGTCCACCATAAGTTACATACTTCTAGTTTTTGTCCTCTACCTTTGTCCTTAGGATTCCAGAACTTTCTGATCACCACAAGTTGCGTGCTTACTGTTGGTGTTTTTTTAAAAGTTTATCTTTATTCCTGAACTGTTTGTTTAAGTTGTCATTACCTTGTGAACAAGTCATATCAGGCGCACAGGGTGGTATATATGATTTTTCTGGAGAAGAGTCTTCAATTGCACATAAACCATCAGTATCTTCAATGTCTTGCAATGCAGAGACAACCTGAAATGGTCCAAGTAAAGTAAACATACATGAAATGTCAAATGTTATGGTTATTTTTTATTTTTTTAATAGAAATGTCAAATATTATGTTGATGACAATGCATATAAAATTGTATGTGCGATAATGTGATGATTCGAGGGAATGAAAAGGTATGAGGTTGTGCTCGGAAAGAGTCCAAAACCAAGTTAAATTTTCTGACAATCAGTCTTGTTTTTATATGAATAGGAAATTTCTTTGACTTCTTTTGTGACTAACTAGAATACAGAGAAAATAAAATTAAACTCTCAACAACAGTGAAATTAGGATCATGATCATTTAGATGTATTCTTGACGCTTTGGGCTGTAGATCCTTTCATATCTTTGACTTGCAAAACATTTTCTTGTTTCTTAATTCAAATGTTCCTTCTAAAAGTTTAGCTTTGCACATTGGAGGAAGTAGTTTGGGTTGTTTGAAGGTTAATGGAAGTCTTTTGCCAAAGAAGTTTTAGGAATATAAAAAAGAATTAGGTTGCTTTGACTTCTACTCTTATTTCTGGATTGTAATATTATACCTGGCTCAAAGCATAAAATTTTTATTTAGAGAATTCTTTCTGTATCACGTTGTGTGGGCCGGATTTCTTACCTTGTTCACGAGTTTCAGCTCAGGGGTATTCAACTCTGTCTCTTTATCTGATATTAGAGTGTCAATACAAAATTATATTGTGTCACCGTATGGATTACCATGTCCTGTTCTTTCTTTCTTTTGCCCTTTCAGTTATACAAATTCCAAATCATTGAGACCTTTCTTTCATTTTTCTTTTTTTTTTTTTAATGTTTGGCAATGAAATCATTGAGACTCACCATATTCATGCTTGATCTTCTCTTAGGATTCTTCCTGAGACATTGTTCTATTACTTGGATCAACCATCTAAGTTGGTCTTCTTTGCAAGAACTGCTGATTTTAGTATCCACCAGCTGGGCGTATTTCTTCCCACCAAGAAGAGGCTTAGCCTGACATAAAATAATCAAGAAGAAAAAATGGGTGATGCAAATAGAAAATAAATTTGGTGAGAAAAAAAAAAATCAAAGTTCTTAAGCCATATAGTATGTTGAGTAAATCAGTCGATCCGCAAATGTTATGAAATACATATGTATTTCATGAATACTTAGCTTCTCTGACATGATCATATTAAAGGTGTCAATGGGGAGTAAAATAACAAAGAGAAATATAAAAGTAAAGAGACTGTTCCACTGCATTCACTAAAAAATAAATGACTGAATGAGTACAAGATGAACTATAATTTTTACATCACAAATCAATGTGACATGTTACTTATACCAATCATGTTTATTGGTTCAAAATACAGAAATCTTGAAAAAATTGCGGGGCACAGTATCTAAGATGATCAAGGCATGAATTTATTGCCTCCTGCAATAATATGGACATTATGAAAACAAAACAGAATGTAGGATAAGTCTTAACAGAAGAATTTAATAGACAAAAAGAAAATATTCCTGATAAACTTGTTCGGAGAAAAGAAGGGTAATGAGGACGAGCTTTTTGTTCAGATATTCTCAGACATGTAGAAAAGTAAAAGTTATTCATTACCACTTTTGTGATTCAAATACCAGCATATGTGTCTTACCCACTGAACAAAACTTTTCCCTCCAGATAATTTATCTGTCGCTCTCCTGCCACTGATCAATTCTAAGAGAACCACGCCAAAGGAGTATACATCCGTCTTAGTGGACAGTTTTCCTTTCTCCAAATACTCCGGTGCTGTGTATTCAGAACTTACATTTTTATCTTTGTGGGATTTCAGTTCTAGTTTTCCTTTTCCTAAGCCAAAATCTCCAAGCTAAAGATATATGCACCATTCAGAGTAGAAAATTAGTTCGCTAGGATGACAAAATGATAATTTACACTTGCTTCCCAAGTTAGACAGATAAAATTAGGTCAAAAGGTTCAATTACCAGAGGCTCGAATTCATGGGTCAGAAGAATGTTGCTTGGTTTTATACTTCCATGAATTATGTTAATGTCATGAAGGTATTTCAGACCTCTAGAGGCACCAATTGCTACTTTTACCCTTTCTCTCCAAGTCAATGACCGGCAGCTTCCCCCTGTATAATGGAGAAATTCTGTATTTAGTCAAGTTCCATGCAGAAAGTGTTTAAAATTCTATATGAACAAAGGCCTGTTTGTTGATCCATTAAAACCCTTCTAAATGGACGTTTTCCAGACGTAAATTTTTCTTGCTTCTCAAAAAAGCTACATTGGGACATGTGCTAACTGACAAGCTATAAGTTCTGAATATAGTAGTCAAACATAAACCTGATAAGTGCTGGTCAAGTGAACCATTGCAAGCAAACTCATACACAAGAATCTGTTGATTTTTGTCTGTGCATGAACCCAACAGCATCACCACATTTTTATGTATAGCTTTAGTAAGCAACTGCGCCTCTGACTTAAATATTTCTTCTTCCCGAGAGCTAGTTATTCGATGCATCTTGATAGCTATTTTCAGCTTACAATCTAGAATGCCCCGGAAAATTGGTCCATTTCCACCTTCAGAGAGAGAGTTCTGAAATGAAAATATATCTGTAGCAGCTTCAAGCTCATTGTAAGTGAAGTCTCTTTGATTTCCAACATGTGAGCGTCTACTTTTGCATATAGAGCATAAAAATGATTTTGAACTATCCAAAATCACTTCTCCCTGGTGCCTATTCATCAAATCTCCTTTTCTATCAGCTGCAATTTGACCCATAATTGTCTCATTTTTTATAAAACTGCTCTGTCCTTGATCCAGATCCAGTGTATCAACTTTTGTCAAAGCTACCATATGGTTTGTTCTTTTCTCCTTTCCTACACTCTTCTCCACCCCATGGCTTAGATGATCAGCTTTTTTATGACATAACATGTCGTTATTTTCAATTGCTAGCTCTGGATTCCACATTTCTCCATAGTGGCAGCTCTTGATCCGCTTTTCCTCAGTCAGCTCATCAGGTATCTTTTGACCTATCATATAGTTCTCATTTGGTAAAAACATTTTTCTATAAATTATCTGAATATATTCAGATTGAACATTCGACAATATCCAATAATTTTAAATATGATGAAGAAAGTATGTTGCTACTCTTGCCTGAAAGTTATATGCTTAACACATGCTCTCATCTGAAGATTGATCCTGAGACAATTTCAAATTAAGTTGCTTGGCTGTTTCATTGATTGGGGATTTTGCTAACTTCTGACTTCTTGTCCATTCTCTTATGTTTGATTATGACATATGACTAATAAATGATTCTGATGATAACATATAAGAATGAACCATTTTCAAAAGAAAATTATCACGCTCATAGGCTGTCATGTTATCAATATCTTCTGCCCCACCCTCTTTAAGTTATTTGCTTCTATATTCCTGTTTTACCTTTTTCCTCAAGCTATTTAACCTGAGAATTTTTTTTTTTTATTAATTTGACTTCAAGTTGATTACTTCTTGCTTTCGTTATTTATCATTGTGCTTAAGCTATCCTGTCCTAGATTATTTTCCTCTTTACCTTGAGTAGAAGTAATGTCTGATATGCCACATGTTGATCTTGAAATTTCTGGGGAAAAGTCTACAGTAACACAGCCCTCTTCACTCTCTATTATGCCTCGTAATTCAGAGACCACCTGAAATTATGTGGCAATGGCATGTTGACAATGTATAACCATAAAATTGCAGCACAGGTGCTGTGAGGTAGAAATATAAAAGCAAGACCATTTTATTTTCTTTTGGGAATGAACCGAATCAGGTAAAATCTTAGACCATATCTTTATTTGGATAGGTTTGTGAGCATTGAGCACCTGAACCATGTACTATCTCTTGTTCATTAATTCGTACAAATTTGTATCTTTAATTTAATGAAGCACCAATATCATTTTTCATTCACAGAGCATCCTTGTTTATGAACCTGGGATATGTCTATATTATGGTTAACATTTATCTGAAATGCATCCTCTTGGCAATTCAAAATGTTCTCAGTTAGGATAAACAAAGTAATTTTTGAGCCCTTTGTCAATAGTTTAAGCTTTTAAGTGAGATTTAAGATTATATTTGTGCCTTGGTAATCTTATAATTTCTTTTTTATTTACAATCTTCAGACCTTATAATTTAAAGTCCAGTTTTAAGTAATTGAGCATTCAATAACAAACCATAGTGTTCTTATACATCTAGTAACTCACTGCCAACAGTTAATACTACAGTACATGCAACTTGTTTTCTTCCTTCAATTTCACTTCATGATTGACATAAGTTTAATCATGGACACATACCATATTCATGCTTAATCTTTCCTTTGGATTCTTTTTGAGACATTTTTCTGTTACTTGGGCCAACCAGTGAAGTTGTTCTTCTTCGTAGGAGGTTCCAATTGCAGGATCCACCAATTGCGGATACTTCTTTGTTCCAAGAAGAGGCTTTGCCTGAAACATAAAATGAAAGAAAATAATAAAATACAGTATGTTTTACATAAGCACAAGGTCAACAGAAAAGGTGCAGAGAAAAGTTGTATGGCATTGTGCAATGATTTAGGTCATTAGATGCTTATAACTAGAGATTAATGCCAAAATTTTCAAGGATAACCCTTTTCCATTAATGAAATGGTCTTCTTAGCCTATTTGTTGTCCTCTACTAGGCTTTCTATGCCTACTTTATTTTTAGCTCTCTCTCGCTCTCTGTATAGATATAAATATTTGGTATATGGCAATACTAACTAATCTAGATTAGAGTACTGTTTGGCCTAAACAGAACTACTTGCATCCGGTAATAACATCAAAAGGAATATGGAACATGATTCAAAGCAGAGAGTATTGAGTACTACAGCACGGATATGAAATGGATTGACTTGGGAGAAGCATCAGAGTTAAAGCTTAAATTTAAGATGTTGCATGACAAAGGAGAACTATTTCCAAGATACCATGGTTTATAGTGCACCAAAATCACAAAAAATTATGTCATCAAAGAAGATTGTTGTCCCTACTGCTACAAGATTTGTGTTTTGAAAACAGATACAAGAGTTTACATGGGATTAAATAGTATCACAAGAAAACAAGCCTGATAATGATCTTTTGAAAAAACAAAATATAGGGTCTTGAGGTCAAACAAGTACTTTTGATATTCTTAGAAATTAGAGGACAATGTTGATCACCCTCAAAAATTCAAATTACCAGAAGCTGCTTAGGGTGTGTAATAAAAGTAATGTTGTGTGACTATTACCCATTCAACAAGGTTTTTCTCTCCTGATATTTTGTCTGTAGCCCTCTGACCAGTGATAAGCTCTAAAAGAACCATTCCAAAGGAGTATACATCCGTCTTGGCTGTTAGTTTCCAATTCTCCAAACACTCTGGTGCTGCGTATACCAAACTTTTATCCTTGTGGACTTTTTTGCTTCACATTTTGCTCTCCCCAAGCTGAAATCTCCAAGCTAAGTATATATTCACCATTCAATATAGAAGTTAGATTGATCTGATGAGAAAATATGGAATCAACAGTAACTTAGACAAATAGGATATGTCTTGGCTTCCAAGTCCAAGTTATTAAGTATGTACCATTGGTTCGAACTCATGGTTTAGAAGAATGTTGCTTGGCTTTATACGTCCATGAATTATGTTATTATCATGTAAGTACTTTAGACCCATGGAGACACCTACAGCTATTTTCACCCTTTTTCCCCAGCTTAATGGCCTGCAACTATTCTCTGCATGATTCAGAAAGTTCCTTTATTGCATCACATTGAAATCTCCACCAAAATTCCTAGGACAGTTATACAGTTGCTAAAATTCTACATGCATTATTGGATCATAAGTCTTACTAGATAGATGCTTGTCAAGTGAACCATTGCATGCATACTCATATACAGCTAATAGCTGACTTTCTTCTATGGAGGAACCCAACAGCATGGCCACATTCTTATGTCTAGCCTTGAGGATCAATTGCACTTGAGACATCATTTGTTTCTCTACTTGGGCATCTGTGAGTCGATGCTGCTTCACCACTATTTTCAGCTGACAATCAAGCTGACCTTTGAAAGTAGATCCACATTCTCCTTCAGAAAGTGAGTTGGTAATTGAAAATTCATCTGTAGCAACTTGAAGTTCGATATATGAGAAGTCCTTTTTCCATCCACTATCTGGCCGTCTACTTTTGCAGACTGAGCAGATAGAGCATTCTGTATTCCCAAAAATGCTCTTCTCTTGCTTTCCATCTGTTTTATCTTCTTGATCATGGCTCAGCAGCTCAGCTTTTGTTCCATCTATGTGTAGATCACCTCCTGTTGCCTGCCTGAAGTGCTGCCCTTCATCATGGATGCTCTTCCATGTCTCTTCTACAACTGTTCTGGGTTCATCAGGTTTTGTCTGACTTGTTTGATTACTGTCAGTAAATGTAAAGTCATCCCCCTTATCTGAGTTTCTTTGCATCTCTTCTTCCATGCTGGGAAGATCCTCTTTTATTTGACCTATCATCGGATCATTCCAAACTGTTATTGTTATGATGCTCAATAACCACTTTGTGAATAACATGCAATGAAACTGAGACAGAGTAAAGCTAACCAGCCAAATTAGAGCGTATTTGGCCAAGGTAAATCCCATAAAAAAATATACCTAGAAAATGACTGAATTGACTAAATAGCTTCAATTTTTTGAGAGTATTTTGCATAAAAAAGATTTAATTTTAATTCTAAGTTTATTCAAAAAAAATCTGAAGCTGATATTTTGGCGGACTGAGATGTAACCTGGTGCTAGAAGTGTTTCAGAGCTTACCAATCTTGGGGTCTTCCACACTGTTATCCTCATCGTCATGACATCCTGGTACAGGACTGATAAATATCTCTGTGGGGAGAACTGGGGGGCCTCTCAAATGTTCAATCCTATTGTTACGCTTCAATCTTGATATACCACAAGAAAGCTCCTGCAGGAAAAACTTCTCATCTTTCTTCATCTGCCTGCGACCCAGGTGCTTTTTATATTAGTATGTTTGTATGATTCATGTGAAAAGAGCTGTTTAGATTTGACAAGAGGAACATTAACTATGCAATCGTTTTATAATTCAACAAATCATAATTTGACTTAGATGTTATGAGAAGTAAATTCCAAGTTACAGACATTCTAGAGTCATTACACATCCATCGAATCAATATAAAATCAGTACAATTTTCATGCTTGATCTTAGTCATATGAGAAGCTCAGATACAAATATGTTTTTCCTTCTTCTTTTTGCTTAAAGATGGCTACGTTAGAATTATTGTATATCCGGTTTATAGTCCTCAGCTCAAGCCTAACATTTAATGCTTTGGCTTGAATTAGCCAGAATCAATATCTAGGAGCAATTCCCAGAGTGTATCAATACCCTTGACTGTGTAGGTTAGAGTTTCATCTCTCATAATCTTTGCGTTAAAAAAGGTTCTTAACGAGGACATAATTAGCACGGCCAATGAAAATATCAGTTTCTGTTCCTTTGTACTTTCTAGACATTTAAGAAGAAGCAAAAGTTGCCCCAAAAGCTTTCAACTTTCCTTCAAAAGCAATGTTTTGTTTCATGAGATGACTACGAAGGTTGTTTCAATGAGATTATCAGTTTAATTTTGCCTGACCTGTCCAATATCACCCAAGTTGCATTTAGTTCTTTCGCTTTGTCTAAAGCAACCTCCTTAGCTGAAGTTGCCGTGACCAACTCTATCCTGAATTCAACCTGAAATGTTATGCAAAATGTAATAGGCTGCAATATTAGTAAAATATGAGAAGTCCTAGCATTACACAAATATCTGATAGATTCCCAGTTGTGAATAAAACAGATGTATGGTAACATCCTAATGGGAAAATAATATGAATTACGGAATGATTTTTGTCCTCTACACTATCACTTAATATGTTAACTGAAGATAATATCGGTTCTATCTATGTTTTTTTTTTCATGCTTCACAATTGTATGCTTCACAACCGGAATGTTTTTTTCATGCTTCACTTAATATGTTAACTGTGCACAAGTAATTTTTAATAAAATAGTAAATTTTTTTTCATATGAAAGTTCCTTTAAGCTTGACCAAAGCTCACGTGCATCATATATTGCGCTAAAATTTAATGGAAGTTGAAGATGATTGAATTTTTCAATTTGATTACTGGCCCAAAAAACTTTGAAACCATACCAAGGATTACTTCACCTCAAATTTAAATATTCAAATGAAGATTCACGAATAGGTATAATCTTTAACACGTTTTCTCAGACAAGAGCTTTAAAAAAAATCCATTCATTCCTCAACTATTTCTTGTAGATTATTTTCTTCGGATTATGTCATCGATAATAAGTCATTGTCAAGTAAATTCTCAACGAGCTGCTTTTTTTTTTTGGGTATGGTTTTCCAATATCATCCTTTTCAATTGAACATCTATTAACTTTCAACATTTACTTCATTCTTCCTTATGATCATAAAGCAAAAGAAAAGATCTCAACAACTACTGTTAATGTTACCTTCTGTGATTCATACAGTTTAGAAATCTCAAGAAGCTCCTCATTATTTTGGTATTCTTCCATCCTCCTCGCAGCTCGCATCTCTACTGCTTTCTTGTTGGCTCCAACCAGTGATTTGCTGTCCAATGTGCTTAAGTACCCCACTACAAAAGAATTTTGATGGTAAAGGAAGCAGAAAAAGTAGTTTATTCATGTGTCCTTTATATGGTGTTTGGCACGTGGGATTTTAATTTCTCAACTGCCGTGAAACCTATTTGAAAGCTATTCTTGTACAAGATCTATATGAAAAATTTACACTAATGTTGTGTATAAATAAAGAGAAAATCAACTAGTTTGCCTTTGAAAGATGACTTACACTGTTACACATTAATTTTGGTAATCAACTGTTGTTTGCATCACTTCAACACACAAATAGTCATTCTCTCATTCTCACGAAAATTTAGTTGTTTTCTCACTCCACTGAGTCCGAATCAACATTTTCTTCATGTGCGTACCCGTGTAAATGTACCATCACAGGATAAAAACATTGAATCTGTCCCAACAGAGTGACAAAAGTGATTTGGTGCAAAAATAGTGATTTGATGAATAATTAATAGCTGCCATAAACTTCCCTAGCATCCATGGAAGAGCACATACTAGGAGTATAAAACTGATAGAGAACTGCAACAACGGTGAGCTTATCTCCTGGCTTCAGTGATAATCCTTTCAAGGACCAACGAAAGACTCTTGGATTGACATCTTTAGATGCATCCAGGACGACCACCACCCTCTTTCCTTCCATACTTTTACAATTTCAAGCTCTGTATTGCTATGGAACAGAAAAGTTGGTTCAGGGAAGAATATATGAAGAAGAGGATACAAGGAACTACCAACATGGGAGATATAGCTTATTCATCCAAGTGAGACATTTTGTCGAATACAGGAGCTTCAAAAGAGCCCTTCTGTCATCAACTTCCCAGACATTGCAAAGCCATTCTATATAAATACTGTAACCCTTGAATATTCCGCATTTTGGGAACCTGATGAAAAATCCAGTAATCTTCTTGCTGTCTCTTTATAAAAACCCATTATTTTAAAGCTCAGATTGGTCCGAGGCATACTTGTAATTGGTTTTCATGTCTTAGCTGAAATTCTTGCGATTGATAATATCCAAGCTAAGGTTAAACTTGTTCATCATCCCTTTGAAACTATCCCCAAAGAGGACAAAGGAATTTCTCAAACTTCGGAGAAAATCAGGGAAATGTTCTTCGGTGCGCAACGAGATTACAAGGCCTCCGGCTGGCTGCTGCATTGTGGGCAGCCGCCTTTAGCCTCGTGGACTTGCCTTCGGTCGTCCAGTTTCATGCCACAACGTGGTGTTCTTCGCAAAAGACAAGAATACGCGACAAAGATCCCAAGCATGTCTCTATTTGTTGAGATGATAATGAACCTTGAAATTCTCTTCTTTCTTCTTTTCCCACCATTTTCCTGCATACCGCGCTGGACAACGAGCTTTGACCAGTGAAACAAATTTTTGACATAGACATAGATGCAGATAGCATGGTCTCTATGCTAACAAAATGTCTGTTCATATTTTATATTTTTATTGGTCTACTGGTTCTCGTTGATCATCATTCATCAAGCTTATTTTGATGGAAATGAGAACATTTGAATCAATAACAAGTTTAGATTTTGATGATAATGTATCAGGCCTACCAATAACATCCTCGTATATTAGGAGTAGACTTAAACTCGCAACTCTATGAGTTATAAATTAAATATTTATTAATGGGACCAACTTTTATTGGTTGTTCTTGTTTGTTTTGGTAAAAAAAATTTTATAAATGCTATATTTTATAAATCCTTTTTCACCCAAAAAAATAATAATTTATTTATCACATAATTTGTTTGTTGGTTTTCATAATGTAATGAATCAAGTTATATAACTTCATTAAGATATTCACATTTAATACTTAATGATATATTGAACAAGACTATCTCCAATAAAAATAACATGTGATGTGAGCAATCAAAAGATTCTCACTTTGAGCAATACTTTTTTTCGCGATAAAACTTACGCATAGCTTGATATGAGGAAACCAATGCATGACATTTGAATAAAAACATAAGAATAAATGGACTCGTTTCAAACTGCTTTTACTCTATTGTTATTGTTGCAAGAAATGATGTTTTGTAAAATATATTTTAAAATAAAAAAATATTTTTTACATTCTCTTTTATTCTTTAAAATAATAATTTCAAATTACTTAAAAGATATTTTTATCTTTCTATTCTTCATAATAATTTTTTTCTTTAAAACACTTTTTAAAAATATATTATCAAATAAATTTTTTCTTTTATTTTGAAGAACAAAAAATTATTTTTAAAATAGGTTGCTAAACAAGCCCAATATCTTTTTGAGTTTAATTATATTCCTCCTAGTCTTTCAAAATGTTAACTTAACCTATTATTTTATGATGTTCTAATGCAAGGTATTTGAATTATATCTTCTCTTCTTTTGTATTTTTTTTTTACAAGCATTTTCTTGTTTTCTTCTCTTAAGTCTTGTATTGTGAATAAAGGTTGAATCTAGTAAAAAAAAATAATTCGGCTCTTAGAATATGATAAACTAATATTTAAATCTTTTATAGAAGTGTATACATTTAATATTGAGTTGTATCTTAAACATAAGATTACTTCTAATATAAGAACACTTGTATATAATAATAAAAAAAAATTAAAGATTATTTTTACCTCTCAATTGTACATAAAAGATTACAGAAGACTATCAACTCAACTTGGAACCAAATTACCTCCTAACATTAAAAATTTGTTTTTGGTACTTTTGATGTTCTTTGCCAGTTATGTAAGTTTTATATTTAAATTTTTTTAATATTTTTTTAATCCTACCATTTTTTATATTTTAGGATTTTCAATGACTTTTTACATATAATTAAAAAAAATAATATTTAACTCATAAAAAATA